ACAATCGAAGATTATCAACTTCTTTTTAGGCGAGTCATAGGAAAATTTAAAACTCCAAGTATCATTACAACTAGGGATGCACCAGTCCCAGTCCTGACTGGTGAACTGGGTCCCAGTCGGACTGGGTGGGCACCCAGTCCCACTGGGCCTTACATCGAATGACAGTGAGAATTAATAAAACAAGAATCCATAGGTATTTTTGCTAGAACTCGAAGTTTTACCCAGTCCGACTGGTACCCAGTTACTGGCACTGGTGCACCCCTAGGCAACTTGCTCGGTGTATGACTCTCCTTTCAGTAGAGGGAATATTGTATGCATTATCAAGTTCTACAGTGTAATGCTGATCAGTTAATAAGTGGCACCATTTATTAACATGTCAAGGTGAAATCTTTCTCTATAAGTCTACATATATCTCATTCCTGTAGTCAAAACCTTATACTCGTATTTGAACCTACTCTTAATTAATGATCATCTTCTTTTTATCAATAATTTATCATATTCGTAAAAGTTTATCATTCAAATTTTGAGTATCAATCCTACACATGGACATTTATTCATATTATAATACTAATCTAACATGATGACATATTGAACAAAGAGAAACACATGGAATAAAACCTAAACACAACTAATCTTCAATACAATGAGATTCAAGAAATAGCAGCAGGAGTATTAATTGATGTTAATGATAAAGGTGCCACTTGTGAATTCTCATGAACAAGTTGTGCTCGTCGTTCACGAATATTGCTCAATAACTTTCGAATATCATTATCAAGTTCACCTCGTCCTCGATCGAGATTTACTAAATAAAAGAAAACTTTGTATTAATCTTAAATTATTTTCAATTTATTTAACATACACGCAGATGATGTTGATGTATCACCAGCTGTTGAACCATTGGGTGTATTGATACATCGAACATGAGTTGGTTGATTCATCGTTCGAATAACTTCTACAAATGCAAATATATATACATATATATATATAAACTAGAAAAAGCATTAAAATAGAATTCTACCTGATGTATGATATGATTCGGTATTAACATCATCTGTTACTGTTGACACTTTTGTTTTAGATGATATTGGTTTTTCTGTTTCATTAATAACAACTTTATTGTTAGTCATAGTTTGAATTAATTGATTTGTATCTTGACTGTTTAAAGCATTCTGAAATGAAAATATTAAACCTTGTCAAGAGACTCATGTCCTATTATAACAAAAGTAAATATTTTTTTTTATCAATCTTTATTATTTTAGACATTAAAAGATATCCTTAAGAGTATTTTCAGATAATATATATGTATATATCAGAAGCTAGCGGCACCAAACTTTTTGATTTCAATTATATTTTTTGAGTAGAATATAATAATCTCTTTATGCTACTTGTTAATGAGAATTTCGCTCTGATGTTTTTATTTTCTTAAAAGTTATTTACAAATCTATAGAGTAGTGCATATTTTTGTTCATTAATTAACATATAAAGAATAAGCTTGTTACTATGTACGTGTAAAAACATTTGACTGTTTTATTGATTTAACTCCGACATTGACTCCAAAAAAATTTGTTCCCTATTATGCCGATTCCAAAAAATTTCTTTTAGTGACTCCGACGATGATGCAAGGTTCTAATGTGTATATAATGCTAGAAAACATAGAAAGTTAAGAATGAAAAATATCAAAGAAATATCTTTGCTGTCTAAATTACGGAAAAGTTTCTCAATAGATTTTTTTTCTAAAGTTTTTTGATCTTCGGAAAATATTTTCGATCAAATCCTTTTCTTACTTTTGTATTAAACATTTTTCTTTTTCTAAGAGCAGAAAAAGAATCAAATCTCAATAATATTGTATTGCAACGCTACATTCAAAAAATAAAACTTTTTGTCCAACTCGTTACTTTGCTAAAGTTAACTCATTCGTTTCAATCGAAAAAGATCTTATTTTTCACAATCATTATATTATATACTATACCTTTTGTTGATACATATCATTTAATTGTTTTTTCACTTCTAATTCTTTTGCTTTAGCTTCACGTAATTGTTTCCAAACCTAGAAATACAAAAAAATAAATTAAGATAATTAAAATATAGAGAATTTTATTTACCTCCGT